ATAATAACATGAACTTCTTCTCAGTGTCCTCCGATGGCCGGATAACGCAATGGACAATTGTGAAGGTAAATGCAATGGATTGTTGAAGAGCTTCAACCCATTGGAAGTACTGATGTAATTGCCCGATTTTTCACTCATCGTTCGTTTTGTTTCCTTCTGTGTAGAGTGAGCTGAGATACACAGATATCATTACACTGAAGCAGGGGAATACAACTGAAGGAGAAGGCGACAACACACAGCTGCCAAGTCTAGGTACTAACTGAGTTTCTTAAGAGACGTTTTGACTTTTTTTAGAGTAGCAGGGATGGCGCAATGATTTGAGCGCTCCCCTCCCACCAATGTGGCCTGGGTTCGATTCCGGCCCTGTGCCCTATGTGGGTTGAGTTTGTTGGTGGTTCTTGCCTTGCTCCGAGGGTTTTTCTCAGGGTTCTTCGTTTTCCTCGCTCCACGAAAACCAACATTTCTAAATTCCAATTCGACCAGGATAGAGGACCTGCATGAAAACCAGCTAAGGATGATGTGGCTTCCTCTCTAAATATTGTGATTTATTGATTGATTGATTGTTTGACTGACTGACTGACTGACTGACTATCTGTCTGTCTGACTGTCTGTCTGACTGACTGACTGTCTAACTGACTGACTGACTGACTGACTACGTTTTTCCACTTTGACAAATATGTCTGTCTATTTTTTTTTTGCAGGATGTGGTACAGCATTCGATTTTCATAAAACAATGGACTACATGTTTCTTGTTGGTGAGTAGATTGTCAGTCAATCTCGTGTTTTTTGCAGTGTTTTGCTATGTGATTTTGCTAGAACTTTTCGGAATAGTTCATATCTCTTTATAGTTTTTGCTCCTTTAACTGACCAATCAAAACCTAAGCTAGTACAGCAGGCAGTGACGTCAGCAGCTGCACGTGCGGTACAGATATGACGTCAGTAGCAACACGTGCGGTACAGCTATGATGTCAGTAGCTGCACGTGCGGTGCAGATAGGTCATCTGATTTGCTAAAAATGCGTTAAAATGTCTAAGAAACGTTTACTTGTCAAGATGCATTGTGTTAATTTTTCTATGAACTTTCATCCTCCTCGCAAAATGCATGTTTAAACTTTTTTCCCGTTCCTTTTTAAACAGGCACAGAAGAAGGAAAGATTCATAAGTGCTCCAAAACATATTCAAGCCAGTTCCTTGAAACGTATGATGTAGGTATCTTTCGTTATGAAACCTCGGTTCTTTTTCGCGTTTCTGTTTTTATTTATTTATATTTTATCTCGCACTTGATATTTGCTCACAGTTCTAATGAAAGCACGGTCCAGTCCTTGAAGTCTGTATTTCCCATCTTTACCTTCCACCCCTATGCGATGCGGAAAAAACCAAAAAGAGAGTTCAGAGAATGAACTAATGAAAGCGTGGAACGTTTCCTCAAATTATGGGAAAAAAAATCTTAATTGACCACTCCCCCAATTGCAATGGGGCTTTTCAGAGCCAATGGGATCAAATTCAAAAGTATTTGAACTCAGGGCAACTTTTTCAAACAAATAGTGGAACTCAAGCTAAATTTGAACACGCAAGCCTCATGCTTTAAAATGTGTTCATATTGTAATCCATTTTTATTCTTGCATATTAGTCATTCTCGACACTTTCTAATGGATTTCTTTCATTTGTCGACTACTCAGTACTGTGTAACAAAACCAAATCAGTAGTGCTGCGTATTCCTGTATTCTGGGTATTTTTTTGAGCCTCTTAGAATCATACTGCAGATAAAAAGCATTTGATTCCGTTAATTGCTATTTGAACTTGTGATATTTTGCATGCACTTCAATCTCTGCCTTCCCCGTTTGTTTTCTTTCTTTTTTCTCCAAACAACCAGTGTTTCCTGTCTAAGTTGAGTTCGTTTTCTTTATAGGCTCATCACATGGCGGTTTACTCTGTAAAATGGAATCATTTTCACCCGAAGATCTTCATCTCGTGTAGCGCAGATTGGACAGTGAAGATCTGGGATCACCATTACCTGTAAGAAATCATGATTAAACTTGAAGACTAAAAGGCCCGAGGCTTTGTTGGGGCCATAGCGTGGCACAAGTTTGATTCTCAGCTCCGTTGCGTTACACACACATGACTCTAAGAACTCACAAAACGTCACGATTCTTAATCTGATCTTTTCAAGCGAACTAAACATATTGCCTTGTAGATGAGGAAGTGTTTTTCTTTTAAACGGTTCTCTAACGTTTCAGTCCAGTTTCCTATTTAGTATTAGGAACCTGACCTGAATCGTTATGAAGCCATTTTGATTGGATCTCAATTCCCAATAGTTTTCTTACAGTATCAATTCGCCGTTAAATAGCTAGGTCACGGCAAAAAAAGAAAATTGTTAACAGCAGAAAGT